ACAAAGGGGTGGTGGGCAGGGAGGATGATAATCCCGAACCAATAGGTAGGGGGAAGTCCAATGTAAAGTGGAATCCTCAGAGAAGGGGGGTGGATAAGAACTAAGTTTTAGATGTCTTGTGCTGGTGTGCAGCTTCTGTTATGCCCAGACCGGGGGTGTCTGACGTGTGCGCTGAAAAACAAAAGTAGAGACCTAAGCGACACAACCTAGCGCAATGACTGGGGTGGTAATAGGGTGGGTGGTGTGACATGTGGAACTCACCTGTAAATGGGTGAGCACTCGCTTTGAGTTACAGAATTCATGTTGCCTATGGTTATCCACCAACCTCACCATTTTTGCGATCTCGTTTCTGCCCATTTTAACCGGGTCTGCCACGTCGCCGCCCAGAAAGGAAGGGCACGACCCCATCGCTCCACACAATCACACCACGCTCCCCTTCCCACCTGCGTGTCAAAGCGAGTGCTCACCCATTTACATGCGAGTTCCACATCTCACACCACCCACCCTATTACCACCCCAGTCATTGCGCTAGGTCGTGGCGCTTTGGTCTCTTGTTTTACATTCTTATTCCAGCCTCTCTTTCTGTGACTTGAATTTCCCCATCACTACCATAATCTGGAGACCACAGGGGTGTGTACATTTTTTTTTCAAACTACCCGCTTTAGTCCAAGAGCAAAAGCGGGGGCCGAATCTGCTTGTCCTTCATGACAATCTACTTGTCCCAATACAAAAAATGCACCAATACCGTTTTTTCGGTATCGAGTGTGAGTATTGATATTTTGTTTTCGGTACTCGCCGATACTGAATACCAATACCGGTGCTTCCGCTGGCATGGAGCAGGCTTCCTGGGTAATCAGGAAACTGGTCAGCAGGTAATGACATGCTGCCCAGCTCCCTGATTGCCAGGGAAGCCAGCTCCATGTTGTTTGGCCTGCTCGATTGTGATTGGCCAGGAAACCGGCTTCCCAGCCAATCAGGAAGCCGGACAGCGAGTAATGACCTGGTCGACGGGAAGCCGACTTTCCAGCCAATCAGCAAGAAACAGGCTTCCCAGCCAATCAGGAAACCAGGAGGCGGGTCGTTACTTGCCGCACGACTTCCTGATTGCACGGGAAGCTGGCTCCATGTTCCCCTAAGGCACTGCCGCTCCGAGGAAATTTTCCTCTGGCCGTAAGTCCCAGTATCGGGGCATTTGGGTGAGTACAAGTACTCCCTAGTGCATCCCTAATCAAAACATATTTGACTGTGCTAAATAGCGCCTCTCACTGGTCAGCACGATCACCTGACCACGAGTGCTTGCAATTTGCGAGCGAAATTCAAAATGCATAGGGCAGAACTGCGCTGGACAGCAGTACGGGGTAGAGATAGTACACCTCCACTGGCGGAGAGGAGAGACTGTTCGCCGAAAAGGTTAGTATAGCGGAGGGAGTTGGGAGAGACAGGGCCAGATTTCACCAAGTAATTCCATTTTCCCAGATTACCTGGGAAAGTGAACTTACCCTTTAACCACTTGCTGACCAGGTGTTTACAGCCCCTTCCTGGCCAGGCCATTTTTCAGTATTTAGCGCTGTGGTACTTTGACATTTATTCCGTCATGCAACGCTGTACTGAAATAAATTCTATACCATTTATTGGGGTCAGATAGAGCTTTCTTTTGGTGGTATTTAATCCCCACTTGGGTTTTTATTTTTTACTATATTAACAAGTTGACCGTCCGTTGTAAAAAAACGGACGGACGACACTGCTGCATTGGCGGGTTGCCGTCTCCAGACGGCATTCTTTTCCTGCTCGCGCGCGTGCCCTAGCTCAAAAAAATATATATATATATATAAAAAAAATTTAAAAAGTCACAAAAAAAGGTTAAAAAAAAAACCCCAAAATGTTTAACTCCCCCACGTTTACGCACATATAAAAAGTAAGTATGCGTCCGGTGCACCAGTGTGCGAAAACGACAATTGCGCTACACACGTTACATATCACCGCGAACGTCGCAGTGAGAGCAATAATTTTAGGGCCATCAATCACTGATAACACTAAACTGATGAGCGGTAAAAGCTTTTAAAGTGTCGCCTATGGCCAATTTTGGGTATTATCGTTTGAGGTTTCACACGCGCACGCAATTTTAAGGCTTGACATGTTTGGTGTCTTTTTACCCGACGTGACCCCGTCTTTTATATTTAACCAAAAAACTGGGTAATAAATGTTTTATCATTTAATATTGGGGAAACCGTTTTTTTTTTTGTAACATTTTGGTAATTTTGCCTTAATATAGTAAAAAATGAAAACCCCAGTGGTGAATAAATACCACCTAAAGAAAGCTCTATCGGTCCCTAAAAAAATGGTATAAAATTCATTTCAGTACAGCGTTGCATGACGGAATAAATGTCAAAGTACCGCAGCGCTGAATACTGAAAAATAACCTGGATGGGAAGGGGGTTTAACAGCGCGGATGTCAACTGGTTAGAAGGAAACATTACTTAAAAAAATTTTTGGGAAAAAAAAAAAAAAAAAAAGTTTTTTTTACATTATGTTATAAACAAAATTGACCATAGGCGATGATTGATGGCCCTAGAATTATTTCTCTCACTGCGATGTTCGCGGTGATATGTAACATGGGCGCAATCTTCTCTTTCATTTGCGACTTTAAACATTTTTTTGCAACTTAAATTTTGTTTTTATATATTTTTTTTTCACTCAACTTTATCACATAGGGGTCTAAGAAACCCCTTCATGTGATAGCAAAGATATGCGACAGGTCCTCTTTATGGAGACATCAGGGGTCTCCAGGACCCCTGATCGTGTACCGATCTCCCTCTGATCCCCTGTCAGAGAGCCACCATGCTGGTTCCGGGCTAGCACCGGAGCCCGGGACCAGCGGGACAATGGGAGGGGGGAGCC